CTCAGGAACTTCAGCTTGTCATCATCAGTCTAGGACATAATACACAGTCTTCTGCCATCAGCCAGTCTTAGCCCTTAGCTCTGCCTGCAGGTGAGACCTGCATCCCACCCCGCCCCTCACACCCAGCCCAGACTCAGATCAACCAGGCCAAAGGACAGGCTGCTCACCTGATTTCCTCAGCACAGTGTCCCTGTCTCGGGACTGGTGCTTACCAATGTCCTGGCCGTCTCTGTAGGGGTGGGCTAGGGGTTTTTGAGGAAGGCCTTCCTACAGAAAGAGAGCTCCAAGCCTGAGCCCCAGATGCCTTGTCCAGTGGCCTGGCCACCTAAGCTTTGCCCAGGTCAGGAGGCAACAACAGGCTGAACTTCAGGTGGCTTCCTAGCCAGGCTCGTGCTCAAAACCCAAGGAAGCTCGAGCCCCAGCTTTTTTTTTTTTTTTTTTCCTACTTTCCTCCTAAGTTATTAAAAAGTTCCAGAGAATTTCCTTACCATTTCTTCTTGTTCTAGAAATTCCAGAATAAACTGATAGGCTTCTCTCTCTCTTTGGTGCAATCCTGAAAAGGGATGCAGTTGGGAGGAGTTTGGCTGATTCCGTCAGATGGGAGAGGACGGCAGAGCCATCCTCCTCCACCCTCCAAGAAGGCTCAGAAACCAGCCGGGACTGGTCCCGGTTCTGAGAACCAGCTTCTCCAGGCTTACAGCCTAGTGTGTCCAGTTCCCGGGCCAGCTCTAGGCTTCTCAGGGAAGCAGGCCTGAAAAGGGACAGGCACACCGAGACTAGAGCTGCGAAAGGGGCAGTCAGGAGTGGGCAGACCTGTGCCCATTAAATATCTCCAGCATGGGCCGGGCAATCGCTACCACTTCCAAGCTCCTGCAGTTAACTGAGAGACAGCCCGGTCCAGGACCGAATGCTCACCCGCTAAGTTTGGCTCCCGAGAGTCATTGTGAGCCGATGACATCAGGGTTATTCTCTTTGACTTTTGCTTGTTATGATGTGGATTCATCTGCACACCCGGGGCAGCAGCCTGCAGTTTGCAACGAGAACAGTAGCCAGGCCAGGCGTGAGATGGTCCTTCCCAAGGATGAGCTTCTCCTCTCAAGGGGTGAAGCTACAGGTGGCAGGCCCTGGCCATTTACGAGAAAAGGAATTGGCTGAGCAGTGCCAGTGCCGGGTCCTATGTCAACATCCCATTCTCTCCCCATGGGAAGATACAGGACCCTCTCAAGGGCCCCGATCCATCCCGACTTGCCTAGGAGCCTTCGATGCAGAGATCTCTCTGCACAGAGAAATCTCAGACTGACAGGAGGGCTCCCAAGTCACGACATCCATTCCTCTGCCTCTGGGCAGAATTGTCTCTGGGAGTCTTGTTGCTAAAATCCTGAAGCCCCCTCTTCCCAGAGGCTTCTGTCCCCATTCCCCAGTTCACAATCCCACTTCTGCTCCATGGTAGGGGAACTAAGAGCCCCCACACATCTGCCCCTCCCAGACACGGCCCAGGGAAACCTGCTTGTGGGCCAGAAAGAACCTGCTGCCTGATGAGATTCTCTCTCCACCCTGCACTTGGGTCCCGAAACTGGCACATCCCACTACCCGTAGCTCTTAGAAGAGTCTGGCTGTGGGGCCTCCCCCTGTCTCTTTTTGTCTCCCCCTCCCTTTAGCAGGTCTTGACTATCCTGTTGCTGGGAAGCTGCCTCCTCAGACAGGCCATCCCCTGGGAACTTGCTAATATTTGGCTTCCCGGGCCTAAAGCATTGCAGTTGTCTAAAATATAAAATCAAGTGCTCCATTCTCAGTGGGCCAAGCTCCAGCTCCCCACCCCTGCCCTGATGGGTCCCTGGTGGAGGGAAGGGGCTGTGGGCACTCTCACTGAGACCTGGGAGGGGGCTAACAAGTCATAGTTAGGCCGAAGGTGTTCAGGTCTGAGGTCAGGATGCCCACAATTTCTTCAGACACCCTGGAGACATCTCCCTTCCCAGCCCACCTCCCCCCAGAATGGAACACCTCCAGGCCTAAGTGAGCCAGGCCCAGAAGCCTACCGATACCATGCCAAGCACCCAAGCCCCCTCCCAAAGCCATCTGCCCAGGCCCTTCAAGCTGTGGAGGGGGACAGGCGAGCAAGGACCCCTTTACCTGACTTGCTCAAATCCAGGGCACAGGCTTCTCCTGGGCACTGCGGCTCCAGGGGGCGCTGTGCTCCCAGGTCCTAGAGTGACCCCTACAGGGCAGGAATGGAAATGATCCCAGCTCAAGCTCCCTGCCCCCACCCTGATGGGTTCCTGGTAGAGGGAAGGGGCCTTGTGGACAACCCATCCTCCTCACCCCAAGGAAGGTCCCCAGACTTCCAGCTATGGGGAACGGGCTGTTTCTCATGAGCCTCTGCTCTTGGTAGTCAAGAGGTCCAGGGATGGAGCTGGAGGAGCTGGAGACTTAACCACACCCATCTCTAACCACTGCCTAGCCTGGCCCAGTCCAAGCCAGACCTAAGGCTGCCCTGTCCTTCTCAGAGAAGTGACTCCCAGAGCCCAGCTCCTCAGTCCTGGGAGACCTTAAGGAGCTTTGATGGGGTTGCACTTACTCCCACCCTGCCGGGGAAGCAGAGAATCTGAGAGCCTCCCTCAGCCTCCCCACCCATCCCACTGGCTCCCCAGGGACCTGGCCAGACCAGCTGGGGAGGCCAGGCAACTTGGTCACTTTGAGCAGGCATCCTGAGGGGCTGGGCACAGACACAAAAAAACCCTTCATCCTCAGCTTGGCCAATCACAAAGAACAGACTTTATTGAAGTATTTGGCGCTAAAACCCACACAGTTTAGCCCTGCAGCCGAGGACACAGCCACTTCGCAACAGCACCAGGCATTATATAGGACCAATAAGTTAAGATAGAGGATGCTCGGGTGTGGGGGAGGAGGCTGGTACTCAGAAATCTCCTGGCTCAGCCCAAGGAGCTCTGGGCTCCAGGAAGGACACTGGGTGGGAGTAGGGACAGCTGTACACCGGGAAGGGGCTTGAGACAAACCAGAAGAGAAGAGCATCTGAAGTAAGGCATTCAAACATGATAGGGGACAGAGTCAAGCCAAAAGGTGAGGACTGCTGCAGGAGGTGGTGACAGCACGGGGAGAAACACCAGCTGCGTCCCCACAGGCTCCCTTCTTTTCCTCCAGACTCCTGATGGGCCACCCTGGTTCTTCTCTCAGCTCCCTTGTGCAGTTGGCTACACCGCTTTCTTCCCAGTTGGGAGAACTGTGCCAGTTTGGGGTCAAACATCAAAATTCTTGGAGCCTTCTGCTTATTCAGTCTCTGTTCCAGTCCCGGGAACTTGGAGGGGAGAGCGCTCTGTGCAGGCAGAGGCAGAACTCAGCTGCCCTTGCCCCTCCTCGCCTCCACTCAGTCGTTTTCTCGTTGGAGCAGGACCCTTACCTCTATATCTGACCTGGCAGCAAGGAAAGCTCTAGGACGAGAACCCTGGGACTATCAGGTGATCTTAGCACAGGCAGCTTCCAGGCTTGCCCCAGTTTCAGCAGCCAGGACAAGGAACTAATGCCCTCTAAGGAAACGCAGCATCTCGTCAGGGCTCAGGAGCAAGTGTCCCCATGTCTGTATAAATAAGTATTTTCTCAGAACAAGAGCATAGCTGGGCGGGGAGTAGAAGCACCACCTCCCTACCCCCAATAGAACATGCCACAAAAGTGGTGTCTTTCCAAAAATATTTGTAAGGTATTGGTTTTTAGGACTATGATGAAAAGATATTAGGAAAAGTGGGACTGCAAGCCCTCGAAATGCCCAGAGGTGGCTGTCTAAGAGTGAACTGCTCCCCACTAACCAACACGACAGGCCAGCCCCCAGGCCGGATCCCCCGGTGCTACGATCTGGTGAAGCCTCAAAGTCAAGGCTCAGAGGTCTGGGAGCCCACAGGGAATAGATAAGGGATAGTGACTGAGGACCCTAGAAGGGATTTATGGGGTCAGAAAAATAGTAGGTGGGCCGGCCCGTGGCTCACTCGGTAGGGTGCGGTGCTGATAACACCAAGGCCCCGGGTTCGGATCCTATATAGGGATGGCCGGTTTGCTCCCTGGCTGAGCGTGGTGCTGACAACACCAAGTCAAGGGTTGAGATCCCCTTACCGGTCATCTTTTTTTTTAAAAAAAAAAAAAAGAAAGAAAAAGAAGCCTCAAAGTCAAGGCTCAGAGGTCTGGGAGCCCACAGGGAATAGATAAGGGATAGTGACTGAGGACCCTAGAAGGGATTTATGGGGTCAGAAAAATAGTAGGTGGGCCGGCCCGTGGCTCACTCGGTAGGGTGCGGTGCTGATAACACCAAGGCCCCGGGTTCGGATCCTATATAGGGATGGCCGGTTTGCTCCCTGGCTGAGCGTGGTGCTGACAACACCAAGTCAAGGGTTGAGATCCCCTTACCGGTCATCTTTTTTTTTAAAAAAAAAAAAAAAGAAAGAAAAATAGTAGGGTCCAGGAAGACAAGACTCCACCAGGATACACTGACCTTTAACCTACCGCTCGATGTGTGTGCATCATGGAGCACATTAGAACAGGGCAACGAGATCCTCCCCCAGCCCAGACAGGGGAACCCAAAGACCTGGGAAATGAAGGAGAGGCATGTGCACGAGTGTGTGCCATGTCCAGCCTCCAGTAGCAGTGGGACAGGAGGGCCAGGGGTGTTCTCCAGGGGAGTTCTCAGCACTGGAGGAATCCCCGAGGTGGCCATCCTCGCTTCGCACATCCCCGGCCACTTGTCTTGCAGGAGGAGAAAAATGCTACCAATCGGACAGGCAAGGCCTTAAGTCCAGTAGGCCAGACTTGGGGACAAAGCATCATCAGTCGTATTACAGGGGTCTTGAGGAAAAATCACAAATATAAATCCTCAGGTCAGGGCTTCCAAAAAAACTTGTATTAAAAAAAATAATAATAAAAGGTCTCAGCTCCAGGTCATCGACCTGCGATGGGGTTGGGGAGCTGAAAGGGGCACTCAAGGGTCAGGGTCGCAGCCCCACTATGAAACAGTCTTTTCCAGCAGCGGGGGCCAAGGCATTCGGAACACAGAGTCACACTGGGCCTTGGTTACACCTGGCTAATGATCTCTCCGTTCTCAGGTACAAAGACTTGCACAGGGGCTCCCTCAGGTGATCTCCGGAGCACACACACTGTGGGCACCTGCCAGGGTCAGAAGAAAGGAGAGGTGGTGAGCAAACCAGGTAGAAACGTCGGGACAGCAAGCCCAGTTCATCATCCTTACCCCTCCAGGACACTGACCAGCAGCAGTAGCACAGCCCTGGTGCTCTGTCCCTGGCTCCCCGGGAGCCTCTTTGTTCCCCAGGGACCACCCTCCCTATTTTCCTCTCCAGGTTCCTTTGGGGTGTGACGGGCACCCTGACATGCTCCTTCCCCACCTTTCCTGGGCTCACTCCTCATCGCCCTCCCTGTCTGGCAGGTTGGGATGGGCTGGGCCTGGTCTAAGGACAGGTCCAAGCTTGCTCGAAGGAAAAAGCACGTCAGCTGGAAGGTGCAGCCTGGGACTGGGGCCAGGGTGCTGCTGGGCCAGGGTGCTGCCAGGCCAGGATGCCAGCTGCAGCCAAGAACTGGGGGATGGGGGAGGGACGCACAGCTGGGCCCGCTGGGAAGCTGGGGTCTCAAAGAAGCAGCCTGTTGGTAACTTCTGGAGCACATCCCCTACAGAGCCCTCTGTACCAGGGACAAAGAATAAAGAACGGATTCATGCGTGTTATCCCCACTTCCAGAATGAAGAATCTGGGTCCGTAGAAATGAAGGCTGCCACCCGTAACAGGTGTCAGGTGCTCTGTCCTACATACTACCCACCAACCCGGTCCCTGACCTCTGGGGGCCCCAGATGAAAGTCACATCACTTATGCAGCACTTACTGCACATCGCTCCAATCATTTTAGTCTCTCGGCAGCCGTATGAGATAGGTACAGAGGGAAACAGAGGCCCAAAGGGGTTAAGGCCAGTCATATAGCTTGTGAGAAGCAGGACTGGGATTGGAACCCGGTGGTCTCCTCTGAGAGACCGTACTGCTGACTGTTATGCCACCTGCTTCTCAGCTTGGTGCTGCGGAGGGCTGTCAGGAAGGCAGTGACAGGACAGTCATCCACAGGTTCTGCTGCTTCAAACACATTTCCAGACTCTCCCTATGTCCTGGGCCCTCAAGTCAGGGAATTTGGGGGTTTAATTTGGATTGGCCGTTTGATTATGAAGAGGCTCACTGGTTGGTGGGTCATCTGCGGAGGCACTGGGGGAAGCCTCAGCTCTCTGTGAGGATGATCTCCACCAGCCTCCGCAGGCACGTGCTGCTCGTTAACGAGGCACAGCAGACACAAGTAGCAGGCAGCCCAGGGAAGCTGGGAGCACCTTCCAAAGCCAAGAGGAAATGACTCTCAGCCCGTTCTTCCTAGCTGGGGATTACCCAGCCACGGGGCTGCTGGTTTGATGTCTTGCACCTGCTAGAACTGCAGCCCTTCCCAGCGCGACTCCCCTCTTGCCCTGCCCGGTGTCCCCCCGAGCAGCCGTACCTGTGTCCGGGATCCCAGGGCTCGGCCGAAGCCCTCTCTCCCGGGGGGGAGGCTCCGCACCCGGAAAGCCCCCTGGCGGTCCAGCGAGTGGGGACGCGCGCTGCGGAGGCGTGCGCGCTCGTGCCACCACTTGAGCTCCTCGGAGACGGCGGCCTTGCTGAGCCCGCGGCCGGCGGGGCTGTCCTTCAGCGAGGGCGTCCGCACTTTGCACAACCGTGTGCTTTATGCAATGACCTTGATGGTACATAAAATATAAAATTCATTACTTTATTTGTTCCAAGCTGCACCTAGTCCAGTGCTGCCTGACAAGCAAATTTAAGCTTACAAAAGAATCCAGCCTGCCTATGACAACTCAGCCACTTAAACTATTAGCAAATAGCAGATAACTTGGAAAGTAACATACAGTCAATTCTCATTATTCGCAGATTCAGTATTTGCAAATTTGCCTAATTGCTAAAATTTATTTGTAATTACAAAATCAATGTATATATAGTGCTTTTGTGGTCATTCACAGACATGCACAGAACAGCCAAAAATTTGAGTCCCTTTAAGCGGCCATCCCCAGCTGAGGTCAAACAAGGCCTGTTGTGCCTTCTTTTTAAGTTTCATACTGTAACAAAGTGTCCTTTTTGTGGTCTATTTATTTAGTGTGCATTTTTGTGCTTTTGGTTGGTAATTTTGCTGTTTAAAATGGCCCCAAACATAGTACTAAAGTTCCTAAGCATGAGATGGCTCTGATGTGCCTTATGGAGAAAATACGTGTGCTAGAGAAGCTTCATTCAGGCATGAATTACAATGCCATTGGATGTGAGTTCAGTGTTAATGAACCAACAAAATAGATTTAATAAGGTGTCTTTAAACAGAAACTCACATAAAGCAAGGCTATATATTGATTAGTTGATGAAAAATGTGACCAAAGGCTTGCGGGAACCTAACCTTGTATTTCCCCCTAGGGGCAAAGGTTCAGTATTTGCTAATTCAGTGTTTGCAGCAAGTTTATAGAACATAACTATCACAAATAATGAGAATCTACTGTGCCTCACGGAAAAAGTGAATTGCACATTGTGAGGAACTAATAATAATCTAGTGCACAAGGAAACGTGGCAAGAGTAGAAAACTTGAATCAAGTTACGCAAAAAAGACAAAGCTGGAGTTTTGGGAAGAAATCAATTTTTCTCATGGATGACTTGCCTTTGGCTTTGCTGGTGGTGGTGCAGACTCTTTTGAGAGATGCCCCAAGATGGGACCCTAAGGAGAAGCCAAGGCACTAGCCATGTGTCACCCAGGGTGTCCCATCTGTATCCTAAGAGCCACCACCCTCCTACTGCAAGCTCTGGATGGCGGGTCCACTGCACTCCTGGGGTGGGTGGGCTATCTCTTACCTCAGAGACTGTGACTGGCCCCTCCTCCCCTGCATCTCGGGGGTGGCTGGGGCGCTAGTACGGCCCTGCCACTGGCCAGGAATACTGTGGATGGGAACCATGTGGTAGGAGGCGGGTTCCAGCAGCCAGAGGCTGGAGGCACTGGGCCCATCCTGCGGTGTGCTGGCTGGGCTGCTGCAAAGGGATTGGAGATAGGTCAGTGGCAGGAATGCCTTCATTTATGGGCTCGAGAAGTACAGAGCAACGGGGACACATTGGAAGGGGGCTCCAAGCTAGAGGTGCAAACTGCCAGCACCCTTGGGGAGCTACCAGAGTTCACACGTCCACCATCACACAACTAAGGAAAGGATGATCTTCCCCTTCCCCTGCTGCCATCTGCCCAGCCCATGGCCACCCCCAGCACAGTTCCCGTCTGTACCTCGTCCTCCCTTCCTCTCCCCTAACCTGGATTCGCTGCTGGGCTCTGAAGACTTCCTGGGCTTCTCGTAGGGGTGGTCCAGGCTGGTCTCCTTCCAGGGGCTGTTCTGGATTGGGGCCCTCTCCAGGCCCCCAGCTTCTGGTCCTGCTGGCTTCAGCCCCTCAAGGCTCTGGGGTGGGAGAGGCCGGGAAGGCGGGGCTGGGGACTCTGGGGGAGGTTTTGGCACTTGGGACTCCTCTGCAGGGGTAAAAGAAACCTGGTAAGGGCAGAGGCTGGGGAAACCGGCCCAACAAGAACCTCCGAGGCCTGTGCGCCTTGCTCTCCCTCCCTGGCTGGCTTGTCCAACTGCTCCAGGCCGTGGCTCCAGCCCCAGATGCTCAACCATATTTTCTTCTCTTTGGGACTTACTCCTTCCCTCACAGCCCTATTTTACACCTTCCTCCTTCAAGAAGCTTCCCCAGGTTGATTCTCCCTGGCTCAAGATGCTTCACTTTTTAACCTTTGCTCCTGGTGCCATGTCTCCACAGCTAGCTTTCTGTTTACCTATGTTTCTTGTTCCTGCCATGCCCATGTGCCCTATTTCCTTACTGGCCTGGGCACTCCCCTGGACAGAACCATACCAGCTTCTTGGTCCACCTTGATACCAGCATCTTCAGGGTTTGTAAACAGGGTTCTTAATCTATAGACTTGTGTTTCCTCCCCCAATGCTTACTTTCTTTTCAAAAAGGACAATGATTGTGGGCAAATTGTTCTTTGGCTCTGACCAGTGCATCTTGAAATAAAGTCCCAGGCTGAAGGAGGGACAGCTGAGGTGGATGGGCTCTGCTGGAATTTGCCTTTCCCTTCCCCATCAAAATGATTGAGCCTCTAGAATGGGAGATGGTCAGCACATCCCCACCCTCAACTGAGCATGTGCAGGGGCACATGGAAATCAACATCAAGTCTAAGCAAAGAGCCTAAGCTGGAACCCTTGCCTTTGCTAGCTCATCAGAAGCTCCGCTCCCCATTTGAGGACCTCACTAGCAAACTCCGGCAAAGCTCCAAGGTCTTACTGGAGGAACCCGGGCTTGATGACAGTCCCCAAACCATCCCTCTTACCTTCCTCCAGGAGTAGCCCATCTGACAGGTTCACTAGCAAACTCCAGCAAAGCTCCAAGGTCTTACTGGAGGAACCCGCGCTTGATGACAGTCCCCAAACCATCCCTCTTACCTTCCTCCAGGAGTAGCCCATCTGACAGGGAGCTGTCATTGGAGACACTGAGCTCTGGAAAAGTCAAAGAGCAGAGAAGAAAGGGAAGTAAGGAAATTAACCCAGAGATATGAATAACCAGGAGCACTGAGCAGCCTGATCCCTCCCCCAGGACAGCACCCATTCTCAGAAAATGTGCTAACTGCTATAGTGAGTATGAATTTATTACTTGGAAGTAGAAAAAAAAATCAGAAGTCAGGGGCTAGGAGACAGGAATCCTGATTTGAATCCTGGCTCTGTCATTAGCTGTGCAACCTTGAATAAGCCATTTTAGTGCTCTGAAATGCAACCTCATTTTCCCCAGCTGTCAAAAGAAGCCAGGGCTTCCTGGCCATGGAAGGGAAAGACAAAGAGCCATTTTGAAAGGTCCTTGGGATGAAAAGAGTTTTACTAACTTTTTGATAGTCTTCTGGCATCACAAATGCAGGTCACCTCAAGTATCCCAAACCTGAGAACTCCTGTGCTACTGGCACCAAGAGCACTGCACGGTGAGAAACCGAGCTGTGGGACTGTGAGGCCGATTTAAGCGAGGCTCTGGCCAGCCAGCCCTAGGAAGCTTCTTTAATTGGTGATAAAGCAAGTCACCGGAATGACATGGGAGTGTGGCAGCTGTCACCCAGGAAAGCAGAGGGAGCTCATTTTTGCCCTCCCCCTAGACAAACTTAAACCTTCAGATCTTGAGAGCTCATGGGAGCTGATGTGACCTAGACAAAACCTTTAAAACATTTTCAGGGGCCGGCCCGGTGGCGCACTGCTGTGGTGCGCCGCTTGGGAAGCGTGGCGGCGCTCCCGCCGAGGGTTCGGATCCCACATACAGACCGGTTCCCGCTCACTGGCTGAGCGAGGCGCGGGAGCAACACCGAGGGCTGCGATCCCGTTGCCGGTCCCAGTCTGGTACGGGGGCGACACTGAGGGTTGCGATCCGTTGCCGGACACGGAAAAAAAAGACAAAAAAAAAAAAAAAAAAAAACATTTTCAACTGTGTTTCAGAATGAAGATGAGAAAAAATGAATACTACTAACATCTCTATTGTGCCGATACTTTTCTAAGTACACTGCATATATTAATTCATGTCATCTTCATAACAAACATCTCAATTCCAAGGAAATTGAGTCTCGGAGGCATTGGGTGAAAAAAGTACACAGTTCCAACCATCTTGAAATCCCTTGCAAACTATGGCCCATGGGCCAAATCCAGTTCACTGGCTTTTTTATAAATAAAGTTTTATTGGAACATAGCTACAGCTTTGTCTCAGTGCTTTAGCACCAAAATGGCAAAGTCGAGTAGTGATACAGACCACATGGCCCACAAAGTCTAAAAGATTTACTATCTGACCTTATGGGAAAGTGCCAACCGTTGTTCCACAGCTTAAATGAAATACAAACTTTACCCAAAGCAGTTTTGCAACTTTGTAGGGCATGCAGTACAGGGAGCTGGGCTGACTCAAGAGTGGCACATGCTTTGCTTGCCTCACCATGAGCCTTTGCTGTGGGGTTAGACTGAGGGGACACTCCTTTATTGAATTCTGATTCCCTGCCTCTGATCTTTTACAAATACCAGGAGAGAAAAGATTTTTGTTTTTTGCGAATATCAAGTTGAAATTGTGGAACTGTTACTGTCATGGCCCAGCAGTACAAGTAGGGTTAGAGTCATGTGTCTTGGTTTGAATATATGGTCTGGGAAGAAAGACATCACTCCCTATCACCTCCAGTCTTAAGAACAAGCAGATCAGAGTTTCAGAGGCCAAGAGGTACAAGGTAAAGAAGAAGTCTAGAGACACGCTGCCTTTGCAGAGGTGTGGGCTGGGTCAGGTACCTGGATCTGCTAGCCAAACACAAGTGGTTCCTGAGGGCTGTTCACTGTCCTGCCACTGTCCCAGCCCAGCCCTGGCTCAGCCTTGTCCTGCCCTCCACTTGGTACAACTCTCCCTTCCAGCAGCAGCAGGAGACCCTGGTGGACGGGTAATGACAGAGATCACACTCACAAAATGAGCATTCTCAAAGGCTGTGCCGTTCAACACAGCAGCCACCAGCCTCATGTGGCTATTTTTATTAAAATTAAATAAATTTTAAAATTCAGTTCCTCAGTCATATTAGGCATATTTGAAACACTCAGCTACATGCAGCTAGTGGCTACCATGGGACAGCACAGATACAGAACACGTCCATCATCACAGTAATTCTGTTAGAGAGTGTTACTAAAGGCTGGCACTGTCAATCAGCAAACGCAGATCAAGTGCCTCATGCATTGCAGAGGCGTGTGCTAGGCTGCTCTCATCAAGTTCACCATAGTAAACTAGTTCCACATCTGACAGCTCCCTGCCACCTGCGGAGTACTGGCTACTAACTCTCACCTGGCATCTTACTTTCGCAAATTGAATAACCCTTATGTGGACCCAAGGGGACAGGGTGAGCTTTTGTTTGGCGGTGTTCTTTTTGTAGTTTGTTTTCTTTTTTTCATTTTTAATTCAAAACACCTTTTAGCTACTAACAAATTATTATTCCCTCTCTACTTCCTCCTTTCTGGGAGAGCACAGCTGGGCAGAAGAGCCACAAAACAGGAATTACTTGTCTGGAACTACCTCTGAGCTCCCAAGGCAGAACATTGGAACCCAGGACTGCAGGCCCATGTGGAGAACAGGTCCCGAAGGAAAGGTCTTTATGCGAATCTGGAAAAGTCAGCAGCTACTCCAGGTGTTTCTCCCCATACACATCTCTATTTTCTCCTGGGCTGAGTGCCCTGAGAAGGTTACAGAACCTTGGCCTCCTGCCTCCCACACAGGGTTAAGCCAGAGTCCCAAGCATGTCCTAGCCTGCTCCCCACTCCCAACAAGAAGCATCATTGGTCACAATGGCGGCAGCAAAGTGACACCACTCCACCACCTCACTCATGGGCAGAAGCTCCCAGCAACGGCAGCACCTGTGGGCAGAGGCAGCTGTGGAGCAGTGTGAGCTAGAGGGGAGAACAGGCAGGCAGAGACCAACTGGGACAAGGGCACATCTCACCACCCTGATGGCTCCCCACAAGCACAGAGCAAGTTGGCCATTAGAAATTTCCATGCCCAAGTCAGCAGCTGCCTTTCAAGGCAAGGTCAAGTTCTGGGGTCTCCGCTGAAAGTGGAGTAAGAATGGAGAATTTTTTTTCCTATTAAAGCCTCAGAAACCGAAAGAATGTTATCCTGCAGCCAGGACATGCCTGGAGCTCTGGTTTTAGAACCGGAGAGAAATCTGGTCACCTGGCCCTGGGTCAGTCAGCCCCACTATCTTCTGTGTTTACTGGGTCAACTGTCACATGGAGGCACGTCCTCCTTTGTCATCAACTCCTGGCTGCTGGAGGTGACCTGGGTAGTGTCTGGTCACACACTTCCTACTCTAAATTAGAGGCCATGGGTGGGGGCAGGGATCTGTGAGAACTGTGCTGAGATAACTGCTTTCCCAAGGCATGTATCACGGGCAGATGGACCAGGAAGGGCCCTCAGGCTTCCATCTGAGTGTTCCCAGTTAGGGGGGACAGTCTTGGCAAAAAGCAGAACCGATGTGCAGGGATAGGCTTGGGAGTGCAGGAGAAGCAGCCACCCTCCAAACCAAGGCAGAGGCCTCTGAATCCAGTCCTGCTGCAGGGCTACTGCCTCAGATGCAGCCAGGGAGGTCTGGGACCCATATGCAGAACCTGGGGGTCACGTGAGATCAAGCCATGGGCATGGCACGGTGGGGATTGTAACGAAGGAATGGAGGGCTACAAGTCTTGACCTGACAAGCTGGGTTTGGGCTGCAATCCCACCTAAGGGCTCAGAACCACCTGTTGGAAGTTACCCCAGGCTGGATGCACTGATGTCACGTGGCTGGCCACAAGCATTGGCAACTCGACAGGTGCCCCACAGCCACTGGTCTCTGGGCCAAGGGACCCAGAGGTTGGACCACAGGCACAGTAAGGGCAGAGAACAGAAGTGGAAAGATTCTACTCTTGACTGGGGTGGTTCTATATACCTAAGGGGACCATGGGATGTGACAGTGGTGGTGCCAGATTTTGACCTAAACCGCCCAAGAGTAGCTGTGGGCCCCTGGAACAATTCAGTGATCAGTGACCCATAGCAATGGCCGACTCCTGTGCTGCCTAACTCAGGCCAGGACAAGTGCGTCACCTCACACTGCCCTGACCCACATAAGCCATCGCCCTGTGGGCGGCAGCAGGATGGGCTGGGGTACTCCATTGAACACACTCTTGGGTTAAGTTCAGGGTCGGCCCAAGGAATGCCTTCTGCCTGGGATTTCTTTTTGAAGACGGTGCATTTTGAGGAGGATGTGGAAGGAAGGAGCGAGATGTTTTCTAAGGAGGTCGGGGAGAGGGTCTCATGGGATGGGATTGCGGGGGTAAGGCTGGGGTCAAGGTGGACCCAGGTGTCAGGTTTGTCCAGCTGGAGCTGATGTGCAACATTAAACATAGTGCAGGGCACGCAGGCGGTGCTAACCAAATGCAGATGCAGCCGCCCGCCATCCCACGGGGCTCC